GCCCCCCGTACACCACAACAAAATGGCGTGGTTGAACGGAAAAATAGGTCTCTTGAAGAGATGGCTAGAACTATGCTCAATGAGGCAAACCTTCCTAAATACTTTTGGGCGGATGCCGTGAGTACCGCGTGCTACGTGTTAAATCGAGCCGTCATTAGACCGATACTCAAGAAAACGCCCTATGAACTTTACAAAGGAAGAAAGCCTAACCTCTCCTATTTTCATGTCTTTGGATGTAAAGTTTTCATTCATAATAATGGAAAAGATAACTTGGGAAAATTTGATGCTAAGTCGGATGAAGGAATTTTCTTAGGTTATTCTCTTCGTAGTAAGGCATATAGAGTGTTCAACAAGCGTACTAAGACCGTAGAGGAGTCTATTCATGTTGTCTTTGATGAATTTGATGCTTGCTTGGCGAGAAAAGGTATTGTTGATAATGTTGCAGGCTCTTATGATGATGATGAAGAAATCGTTAAGGAAAAGGAACCGGAAGAAGAGAAAACGCAGGAACAAACGGAGCTTCCTAAGGAATGGAGAACATTGAAGAACCACCCGATTGACAATGTCATTGGTGATCTAACGCAGGGAGTTTCTACTCGTAATTATCTTAGGAACACAATTAATCACATGGCCTTTGTTTCACAAATTGAACCAACAACCGTTTTGGATGCTATTAATGATGAACATTGGTCTATGGCAATGCAAGAGGAGCTTAACCAATTTAAACACAATGATGTTTGGGAATTGGTACCTAGACCTAATGAACATTCCGTTATTGGCACAAAATGGGTGTTTCGTAACAAACTCGATGAAAATGGTATAATCACTAGAAATAAAGCTAGGCTTGTAGCTAAAGGCTGTTGAAACACGGGCATGTCACGTTTTCGTACTAAACCGGTGTTTGTTTTTATGACAGGCTTTGATAATGCCAAACTGCCGTGATCAAGTCAAACTTTGAATATACAAGGCGAAGAAGGAAGACAAGAACAAGAGCTAAAAGAAGACCAAGAACGAAGACCTTAGTCTTAGTTGAGTCGGTCTTCATTGTGATCAAGACCGACCCAATCTTTACACCTTGGCTCTTTAGGCTAAAGACCTTCATTGCACTTCTTAAATCATAAAAATGTTTTTAAAACATGTTTAAGTCATTAAAAACACTTGGTGTTCGCCCAAACCAAAAACCAAGCCATCCGGCGTTCGGGTTTCAGAAACTGGCGTTCAGCTCTCGGTCATCGGCTATGGTTTTTGGCATCCGAACCAACCAAGTGGTTTTCAAATTTTTATGATTGGTTTTTACTCTTTGGTATGTTTAATCGGTTCTCCAACAAAAACATCTTGAAAACCATATTTCGCCTTTGGTCGTTTGACAAATATCATTCAAAACGGCATAAAACTTGGCTAGCCGTGGTTTTCACTTAAATGACGTGGCTTTTAAAGTGTCTTACTCGATTTATTATCCAAATACATCAAATAAGTGTTTTAAACACTTGGTTTTATTTTGGAGAACTTTTAATTTTTCGGTCGGGTTTCGCATTGGTTGGCTAGGCCGTGGTTAAGGCAAAAACCATGGGTTCTTGACTAACCACTCACCCAGCGATGGGAAGATCTTCCCATCGATGGGGAGTTCCACCCATCGCTGTTAGAGCCTTGGTGCAAAATTACCACAAGGCAGAACGACCTTGCCCAGCGATGGGAAGTCTATCCCATCGATGGGAACCCAGCGATGGTAAGGGTATACCATCGATGGGAAGGCATGACCGTTGGTGGTCATTAAAGGTTGATTCTTTCCTTGTTTGGAAGTGAACCTCCCACCCAGTGATGGGAAGCTTGTACCCATCGATGGGTAGGTGACCGTTGACTTCAAAACAGAAGAAAAATTAGCTTACCAGCGATGGTTGATTCTAAACATCGATGGGAAGCCAATATTCTGCAGATCCCAAATCTTTTCAATCCCATAAATCAAGCTAATCACTCCTTTAATGCATTGGTCCGTTGGAGCCTAATTTTGCACTATAAAAAGGGGTGTTTGGGTCTGCTTTTCTCACCAATTCACTTCACAACATCTATACTTTCATT